GACATAATCACCAATTCCGTAAAGTTTGGCTTCTTTGTGTCTTTGATCATAATAAAACTTATTAACTTCTTGACCTTGTTTTATTTTATTGCTAGCTGTTTCGCGCAAGTCTTCTAAATTCTCAGATTTATCATTATTGGATGAAAGAAAGAACTTTAAATGATCATTGATAGAACCTACTTGATTCATGCCGAACAGTAACTTAGAGGGAGTTTGTCCAGTCGATCTATTCATAGTGTTATTAACAGCAAATTCAATTTCATGCAAAACCTGATCCCAGCGATCTGGTGATTCAGTTAATTTTGCTATCATAGGAACAATAAATCGATTGTACCTCTCTATTTGTCCATTTGCCCTTGGAACCCCAGTAGCTATTAAACCGTGCAAAATATCTTGAGACTCTAAATATTCTGAGAAAGCATGTGATGTAAAAGCAGATCCTCTATCTGTTATAATTTTGAAAGGTTTGCTATAGTAAAAAAAATAATCCTTCAAATGTTTAATGACTTCGGCAGAATTGGTGGTTTTACAGGGATAAACTTTCAAAAATTTGGAAAAAGCGTCAACCACGCCCAAAATGTATTTGTTACCTCTTTGCTTAGATTTCTCTAAAGGCCCTAAATGGTCTAAATGTAAAATATTGAAAGGTTTATCACCCTTGGGTATATTGTGTAAATATCCCTCTTTTTTTCCACTATCCGGTGAATAAACTACACATTTGAGACAATTTGAGATATAAATTTTTACTTTTTTACGCAATTCAGGAAACCAATAATTTTCCATAATTGCTTGAACGCATTTATCGGTACGTACATGTCCTAACTCATCATGACAACTACGTATCACGTTAGATTCCATCATTTCAGGTACATAAAATAAAAGTAAACTGTTATGTTTTCTATAAACTAAGCCATTGTATGATTCAAAAAGTTTTGATTCAGATTTTTCTAAAGCAGATTTTATTTCTCTGATTTTCAAGTCTTGGCCCTGTTTAATGATAAGATTCGTCTCGAAAGAATTTTCGTCTAAAATTAGAACATTTCCAAAACACCTGCTCAATGCATCAACGTGTCGCATATTCGTACCACTTCTATGTTCTAATGTATAATCAAAGTCTTCAAGAATCAGACTCCATCGCATAATTTTAGGGTTGATATCCTTTTTCTTTAAAGCAGCTGCAACACTATTACAGTCTGTAAATATCTTAAATGAAATGCCATGTAAGTAAACTCTGAAGCGATTTAAAGTATTTATTATGGCTTTTAATTCCAACACAAAACTGTGCTGTTTAGACTCTGCTTCTGTAGTCCGTTGGCTATAAAAGAAAACTGGATGGAATTTAAAATCGGCTTGTTTCTGCATAAATATGCCAGCAAAACCATGTGAACTAGCGTCACAATGAATTTGAGTCTCTGCTATTGGAGAATACAAGGCTAAAACTGATTTTGAAACTAATGAATCTTTTAAAGTGTGGAAACTTTTGATTTGCTCTGGGCCAAAATTAAACTGTGCATCTTTTTTAAGTAAATTGTAAAGCGGACCTGCAATAATCGAAAAGTTTTGTACAAATTTCCTGAAATATGAAGCTAGTCCAATAAAACTGTGTAACTGCTTTGTATTATGAGGCATAGGATAATCTTTGATAGCTTTTAAGTGGCTGTCACTAGGTCTAATTTCTGTACCATTAATAACGTACCCCAAATGAGTTATTTCTGTATATAGAAATGAACATTTGTCAAGCCGCAGCGTAAGTTTATTTTGAACAAGCAAATTAAATACTTCTTTCAATATATCAAGGTTTTCTTGAACTGTTTCAGTAGCTACCAATAAATCGTCAATATATATAAGTATTTTGTGTTGCTCAAGGAGATCTTTGAAAATATTATGAATGAATCTCATAAAGACTGAAGGTGAATTTTTCAAGCCAAACGGCATTCTGAGAAATTCATATTGTGAATCAGGGATAACAAAAGATGTATATTTTATTGAACTTTGTTCCATGTCCACAAAATAAAAGGCATTTTTTAAATCAAGTTGAGAGAAATAATTTTTGTCTTTGAGCTGGTCGATCTGATCTTCAATCAGAGGAATCGGAAAATTGTCACGTATAGTGATTTTATTTAAAGATCTATAATCCACGCAAAGCCTATAATCGTTAGTTTTTTTTCGAATAAGAACTATGGGAGCGCTATATTCTGAATTGCTCTTGCGAATAACATTTTTGCTTAAAAGATCTGAAACTATTTCTTGCACCGCAATTTTTTCTGCATAAGATAGCCTACGTGGTTTAAAAAAAAATGGAACATGATTAGGCTCGACAACAATTTTCATTTCAAACTTAGTTTTTGGTTCAACTGGTCTAATTGGTTCAACATAATCAGACATAAAAAGATCAACAAGCCTTTTATGATCCAAAGGACACAAAGAAGGATTAATATTGAGGTCAATTTCAGTTTTTTCAACATAATTAATATTTAAGATGTCATCAGTGCAAGATAATTCACCGTTACCTAAATATTTATCTGTTGGTATAATTTTGACTTGGTCACCCATAAAAGAAATTTCGATTTGATCACTCATCATAAAGTCCCTACCTAATAGGCAATTGTAAGGAATCGAACTATCTGGTACTACATAAATAGGCATTTCAACAATAATTCCTGAAATTTTTAAAGTGAAAAGAATAGAACCTAATATTTCTAACTTTGCCTTATTGATGCCTTCAAAAATCTTATTTGGACAAACATTAAAAAATTCAAAATCATACATTTTTACAGTTCCAAAAGTTATAACAGAAATTGCACTACCTGAGTCCAGAATAGTATCAAGATGAATTGCAATATTATTCTTACTCAAACAGATTGGTATCATATACGCATTTGTAGTCTTCGGTTCCACTAATAATGAGGTAGATTGAGGCTGAGTCTTAAGTTTTCCATATCCAGAGGTGTGTCCAGATGAAATCTTAGGACAATCCTTTTTCTGATGCCCCATTTGACCGCAGACATAACATGAACCTTTAGGACGGACTGGCTTGCTACAGTATTGGGAAGTATGTCCCAATTCATTACAATTATAGCACTTTGGTTTGAATGTGACATTGGACCCATTTGACGACATACCACTAGCTTTGTATGTGTCATGGCGTGTATTTCCTGGTCTACTAACATAATTGGGTCTTTTTGTTTCTGTTTTATCGAAACAATTATCAGAAGCACGAGTTTTACGGGCACTAACAATTCTCTCATACCTTACTATGTCTTGAAAAAGAGAGTCTTCATCAATATGTGCCTTGGACATAATGAAGTTGCTGAGTTCTTTCGACCACAAACCAATAGCCACTTGTTCTTTAATTTCGTCGAAGGACAGCTCTAAGTTTTTGCACAAGGCCACTTTTGAGTGGAAATAAATACATACATTCTCCCCATTAACTTGAAGTCGATCCTGCATTTTTTTCCATAAATCAGTTTTATTAACTGTGAATATAAATGTTTTTCTAAAGGCATTTTTGAAGCTTTGCCAATCAGTTATTTCACTACTTCGTCCCATAAACCAGTACTTCGCAGCACCATCTAAGTTGCTTTTGCCAGTCTGAAATATAAAAGCATCTGGCCAATTATGAAGAAGTGCAGTACCTTCAAGTTGTTGGAGCCAAATTTTTGCTTGGTTTGAGTCCTGTTCTCCATTAAACTTATCAATGGTTTTAGATAAGTCGGGCATAATATTGAAGTTCGATATTGCATTTTGAGGATTGTTGTTCACTAAATTATTTGCTACTTGAGCTGCTGCTGCAACATTCTGCTGTGCCTGAGCCTGCTGTTGCAATTGTAACATCTGCAGCATTTGTGCATTTTGCTGAACAAGCATGTTAACAACGTTAATTAACTGTTCCGGATCCTGCTGTGGCTCTACCTGGATCCGATTTGGATGTTGAGCATTCAAATTAGGTGGAGGTTGATCCATATTGATTGCAACAAAAGCTTCAAATTCTTCGTTCCGCACGTTTCTGCAGTCGTCGTACTCGTCGTTCATTTTGTAATTCCCACAATTATCCATCCATTATCCCACTTCTGAAGTTTGTAGGAGGCCTTAGCGAGTTTATCAAAAATATTAAATGAAAGTTCACTCTGTAATCAATAATATATACTTTTTAATTGTGAAAAATTGAATGAAAATTGACAAACTTATAAAATTATCTGTCTCTCGGACAACTGCTGTCAACTACCTTTTCACGTGTTGCTGGTCTACACCATATCTATTGATATCCTGGAGGCAAAGCCTACAATAGGTAAATAATATAGGGCCAAATTTATAGTCGATGCTTGAGGTTTCCTCAGACCTTAAGGAAGCCTTGAACGTTTAGAATTGACTAGTTTGTCAAATAGTAGCAATTGTTCATTCCAAACTCGCGACTCCAAGGACGATTCAAGGAACGACTATAAATTCGGCCCATAAGGACGTGTTTCAGGGTTTTTATAGCCATTTGCACCTCTATAACTTAAGGGATATTTAATCCAAGTGGAGCTTTGAATGTGACTATAGAGTAGAAACAAAAGTCACATTCAAAAGCTCCACTTATTAAATATCCCTTAATATCCCTTAGGTGATAGCGGTGCAAATGGCCATTAACTTCCACATTTTAAGGGTAGGAAATGGGAGGTTAAAGTTTGTACGGGAGTACCCTTGGGAGTACCTACATCCTCGAGTATATCTGGGCATCTGGTTTTTAGACACAACCTCAGGCTAGTCTTTACTAAAAACAGGTTTAAACTGGGTAGGTAACAAAGTATCCAACAACCTCATCCTCTTTGACTGTGTGTCTATAACTTCAAGAGTGTGAATTGAAGTGTAGGGCCGGTAGGGGGTAGGTAAAGCGGCTAATGTACGAATACATACTGTACTCATCCATCAGCAGACCCTGTTCATAATTATTGCTTCTACCATTGTATAGTTGTTGTTTAAGCTAGATTCTCATTATGGGTAAAAGTAAAATTCCTTACCTGCTGTGGTTGATTTGCCAACACCTCCTTTTCCAGAAGACACTAGAACAATGTTTTTGACTCCGTCAATGGGTCTTTGCTTGGGTAATCCTCTGGCCATAATTTCTTTTCGACGCGTCTGCACTGTAGTCTCAGGTGCACTCGAACATTTTGCACTTTGTTGAAACAAACCGCTAGCAAGATTTTTACACAAATTTGTTAAGTACTTGTTTTGTTGCATTATTAGTTTATTATTTGAATGCAAAGAAGTATTTCATTAGTTTGACTGCTTTTTGACAAAAAAAAATTGATGTAAACATAAACAAACGAAACTTAACCTAACTTTATCTGGTGAGATGCCGCTACCGCAGTTGCCAGATTTTAGTTTTAAAAATCTTTAATCATTGAATTTTCTCAATATCAATTCATAAAGAACAACATTTCAAAGGAAATACCATCAACCCAATCTTAATAATTACAGCTGAAAGAGAAAAAAAAAAAGGAAATGGAATATTATAGTCTGCTCCAAGTCCAATAAATGCCCTTGCACTTTTGCACTGCTGTTTGTCAGTTGCCACAGTTACAAATATTTTTCCAACCAACAAATAAAACCCAACAAAAATTTATTTCAAGTTTATTATTTTTAAAAAATTACTTAAACAAGAGAAAATTACAATAAAAATAAATAATAGCAGTCAAAAACATAATCACTTCTTACAAATTTCCACTTGTAAATATTGAAGATCCTCCTTTCTCAAATTGATATCTTGCAAAAAGTCATTAAAGGTCCTACAAATATTGAATAAACTTTTGGTTACAGCACTAGTTACGGCCCCTTTCATCCTGTAACTGAAATCATCACACCCCACAGTATTCTTTGTAAAAGTCGACACTTTATTGAACTTGTCAAGGGTCTGTTTCAGTTGCACCAAACTGGTAATAACATTGGCAAGATCTTTTTGCACAATACCATAATTGTCTTCCTCCAATGATGCTTGTACCATGTTAGCGATACCTTGTGACGTCCATATGATTAACCTTCCGTTGGCAAAACATTTTTGAATATTAACTTGAGGTAGTTCACCAAACCAAAAGTTTATTCCCAACATCGACTTGAAGTAGCTCCAGACAATGTTGATTTTTGCAGATATTTTCGATAATAAAATTTCAGGAATATTTACAGTAGGCTTACTTGTAATAGTAATACAGTCACAATCCACATCGTAATCAACCAGAGACATATTTCTGAAATTTCTAAATCTGTCTGGGCTTTGAAAAGCGGGTACTTGAATTATTTGGGGCTTGATTTCAGGAGCTTCAATAGTATTTTTTAACAACTGAGTGTATTCGTTGAGAAGTTTCAATATTGTTTTTACTAAAGAATTCCATTTATAAGGATGTCCTCCAGGATTGGACAATTGAAAAAATACTTTCCTTCTTTCAGGCATCATCAAGGCTAATAAATGGAAATCCAAACATGCCAAGTTTTGCACTATTGGCCAATCATAGTTTGCCATGCTTTCTTCTAAAGTAAGACTTCCAGATTTGCGCCCGTCTAGTGAAAATTGAACAGGCTCTGTTAGAAATAAGTTGAAGTAGAATCTCATAAGATTCATATTCAGATAATACAATGCATTAAAGAACCACAAATATAAGTAAATAAAAATTAGTGGTTCTTCCAGGTAATCTAAAAGTCCAAACGTATCTCTAAAACTATTTTTCATAAACGCACCTTGGAAATAATAGAAAACACTAAAGTATAATGAAGGCAAAAATGAAGCGCCAATAGATTCTCTAGTTAATTTTCCCAAGTTTGATTTTAGCTCTAAAAATTTTCTTTGTCTGGCACAAGGAAATGTCAAATTCTTCTCTGCAATGTAAACGTTCACAAAAAAATGAAATCCAATCCATAATCCACCCAAAATAAGAAAAAATGAACCTTCATTAAGGCAGTATTTCTGCTCATCACAAGTTTCAATCAAGTTCTGATATTGGCCTCCTGATATAGATAGAAATAGCCAAGTTAAAGTGGCCCCAACAACAACATGCAGCATCAACAATACTTCATTATGCACTGAGAATGTGGCAACGATTCTCTGAAATCTAGTCGAATAATATCTTGCTTTTACCACATAGTCTTTGGCACATATTGAACTTTGGGCAAATATCATTGCCAAAAACGGTATCAAGAAGATCCATGTGCTGAACGAAGTCATCGTTTGCAGAGTCCTTCTGAGCCATTCTAACGGATCCAACAAGCTGACGTTGGTGAAGGACACGTAGAACAGTAAAATGATAAGTTGAGAAAACACACTGGATATTACGGCTAAGGATAATTTTCTTAGTAGCAGATCTTTGTAACTAAACGATTTATCACTGTTTAGGTTAGGATCCATGTTGACATAATTTTATACACTGGCCGTAGTTAGCTATTCCTATTTTCATTAATTTGGAGGTATTCGGCTCTTAACTTGTAGCTTGAGAAGGAGAAATTTTGAATAAAATAGCCCTTTTTAACTGATTTCGGTTAGTATTAGCGGATGTTTTTTATTGACTTTTGTTGTTTAAAGTTGAATTGACACTTTTGACAGCTTTCACCGTGACCAAAATTATGGGCACTTTCCAAAATTCACTGATAAATTTACCGATTGTACAAGCAATAAAAGGGCCGGTTTCTCAAACTGGTTTTTACTCCAGGGTTAACGTGTCAAATTGCAATGTTTACCCACAAAGTGCGGTAATAGTTATACCATTCAAAATACCGTATTGTTAGCGGTACCGTATAAGATTACAACACGGGATACTGCCTCACTTAAATCAATCAATAACTCACTTTGCTCTACTGTAAAATTCCACATTTTTCAATATAATATTATTCTGTCCGTGTTGCGCTCCGTCGTAGTTGCCTGTCGACCGACCGGTGGCGTGATTCCGCTAGCGTCAAAAAAACTGCGCTCCGCCGCCGTCGCGTCACCGCTGCTTAGGAAAGCACATCTTCATATTTTAATGACGGCAACGTCTGCGGCACCCGTTCCGTCTCCGTCCCGCATCCGAGGAAAGCGAGCCTTGCGTAGCGTCTAAAGCACGAGAACTTTCTATTAAATAGTTGTATTCCTTTCAAGAGTTTAGAACACTAGAGCTACTCGCTCCGGTGTTAGTCGACCCCGATTTGGAAGGAACAGATTCGTTGGCTTTCGTGCATTTAAATGTTTGATTCGATTCGGGCTTGAGCACTTCTGGGTGCAACAAACTCTCATCGGAAGGAATAAATTCGTAACGCCCCGGAGCTGTTCTGGAGCTTCTCCTAGGTGTGAAAGGAATGCAACTATTTAAACAAGTTTTGGAAATAGCATATTGTGTAACAAACAACAAATAATATTGAAAATATCACTTTTCACATGCATGGGGATGTTTGGGCACTAGCTGCATGCGTGTGGCACAATCCACACTAGTGTGAAAAGTGGTTGCCGGGACTAATGTTTAAGTAATGTCACATGACGTTATAAATTCTCGGCGCGAGAAAATGGTTTGAAAACGTGGATTGGATTGTATTTCGAAACGGTATGAACTAATTTTGACGTGACGTCATACGTTTATCGCGAGAATGTACAGTTTTGAACCAGTTTCAAAAAAGTGACCACGAGAAAACGTCTCAGGTTGAAACAAGAATTATTTATTCACCTGTGATACGTAATTTCTGGCACTTTTTTGTCGCTACGACTCTTGCAATTGATCAAGGATGATTCACACTACACTACAGGATGGCCTATCCTCATAAGGCCTGTGTGTAACAAATCCCCCCCTACCCCCCTATTCCAAACAACCAGTTGTGACGTAGGAAGCATGGCGTTTCTCGCCTTAACGTAGGATGTTTAAACAGCTGACGACTCAGTTATGACATCGGCAATGGTTGAAAACAGTTGAAAACCAATATGGCGGCGTCGGCGGCGATTACCAAAAACGACGCCGATAAGCACTCCTTAGAGTGTGTATTCTCCTTGGCAATTGATAGCATCAGAAATCACCATCTTGATCAGATACTAAAACAAATATATTCCATTCGTTTTTGTCGCATAAATACGGAAAATATGCCGGGTGTCAAACTCTTTGTTTGGCACCACAGGACTATGACCGCCGATCAATTTTTGATCACACGTTCACGCGCAAGCTCGTAAATGTCTGTTACTCGTCCCCTCTTTTTTCCTTGTCTAAGCTTCAATATATTAGACACTTCTATAGGATTGCTCATCTGTCTCAATTTTTGGAACCATATGATGCTGCACCGTTGTCGATGTCACCAACGGTGTCGTTTCGTTAGCTGTTTGCGCCAGAGGTCGATGAAATAGTATATTGAAATACAAGTTGCAGAAGGCCACATATTCCCGACACGAGCGACGAAGGAGCGAGTGGACAAACGAATGAGTGCGAGAATAGCCTTCTGCAACGTGTGTTTTATACTATTTTCTCGATTTTGGATTTTATTTTTAGTTTTTTTTTTTTTAATTTTTTTGTGGACGCTGTTAGTTCTATGCTGTTTTTGGTTAGTTGGGGTCGTTGGGGATTTGTTTTTGCCAGTAAAAAATTTAGTATTTATGTTGGCAACACAAGCCTTTTCTACATAAAAAATTTAAAAGCATTGACAATTTTACCTTGTATTGCCAACATAATGCCATTCCCTAAACACTCGTCCGATTGTTTGTTGTGTTCACCCAAAGCCCCCTACAGTAATTACTGTAGGGGGCTTTGGCTCACCCCTTTCCGATCCCGCACCGATCGGATTCTTGGAGCAGCATTGTACTGAAGTCGGATCCGTGGGGGGGTGTATGACAAGTGTGCCGGCATTAACACGTTGCGTTGTCATGCAACAGGCGTGTAAGTAAAGTGCAAGGTTCAAGGTTCCTAAGGTAATAGCCAATAGGTTGTCTGGTAATGGATAACTTGATGACGTCATCTGGAGTGCCTTATGGAGATTTGCGTTATGTTGAGGCACCCCAGATAATGCCATAAAAATTATCAGGCAACCTACTTCTCTCAAACTTGTGTAAGGTTTTCCTTTTTTTTATAAATGTGAAGTTTGACGCACGAGCCGCAGGCGATTGCGAAAAATCACATAAGTAAAAAAAGGTGCTAGTCAGCATCGCGTATGTCGGTCGGTTGATTTTTAGTTTTTACCATACTTCTTTGTTCGACGATTCACAGCGCTCGGGGTGATGGCCAAATTAATTTATGAACGCTCACGTATGACGTCATTATGAGTTTATCTTGTCAGGTTTGAACACGTTGCAGTGCAGTTAGAAATGTTGACAGCATCTTCAGGCCCTTGAGGCATGCGCATGTTCCAGAAAAGTATGTTAATGACATTTGAAAGCGTACGCTGGTTGAGCAGAAGTGCGTTCAGTTCATAAATACGTGCCCTATGGTAAAGAGTATATCCGGTTCCTGCAGTGACCCATGCTCGTTCAAAAAATGCCATGGGTAAAATTATTGACTATCTGAACTGATTGCTGAAAATCAGTCGACATGCGCGAGCGCAATCAAAAATTATCATTTCGGAAAGACCCGATACATGAAAAAGTTCACGGAAACGCTGATCCGATTAACCCGATCCCCAGCCGATGTAATTTGACTTTTTTCAATCGTGTTCATGTCTGTGCTCCTGAGGTAAAACCAATGAACTATAACTAAAAACTGGAATGCGCACACATTGCCATATCTGCCAAAAAAATGAAGCCATGAAAGACAGATGCCACAAGGGGGAATGTTGTTTTTTTCTGTTGCTCGCTGACATATGACGGTTTCGAAAGTTTTGTCATATTTCCCTTCACAGGTTTCATCAATTGGAATACGTGTTGGAAGCAATTTTCGCCATTTAACATAATGAGTGCGACAAAAACAGGTATCCCCTCCGCAGCAGCCGCACTAGGCTTCAAGTTCGTCCTTATGTGTTAGCATTCCAGTTTTTGGTTATAGTTCATTGGGTAAAACTGTCGACTGATTTATGGTGAGTCACGAGCAATGACGTCACACCAGAGCAAATCTGTGATGTCATGAATATGCGGCAAGTAAACTATTAGCCAGTCCATCAACTATTGGGAAAAGCTTGCCGGCAAGTATCAAGTGCGCTTTCCTGTGGTTTACACATGACCAGTTTAGTGGCAATTTTGTCCATTGTAAAAAATAAACATTTTCTAAAGATATTATCAGCTTTTGACAATTTGGCAAGCATCCGGCGTCGATGAACCTGATTGGTGGAGTTTTTGGCAGAATGGCCGTTGCCACTGGGAACTATGCGGTTGTCAATGGGCTAATGTCACCTTACGTCTCTCTATTGGCCAGGGGTGCGTTCAAGCAAGACAATGCTAATGCCAAAACCTGCTTTTTACCCTCCATCTTTAATGCCGAACCACGTAGGTTGGAGCCGAACTCGAATGCAAAAGGCCAATTTTGGCTTGGCCTTAGACGAAAGGGCTTGGCTGTAGCGATTCCTGAACGCAGCCCAGGGCTTCCGTCATTTTATCCTCCCATCGATCGGGCACTTTCCAAAATTCACCGGTTTCTGAACCGGTGCGATACCGGTTTAATAGTTGAGGCACCAAACCATTCCAAAATGTACCGACTTTTTACCGGTTGAGCCAGATCGTCCGTTCCAAAATTGACCTTTTGCTTGGACGCCATATTGCGGTGCGCGAACAGAGCTGCCAAAAGAAGAAAACAGAAATTACTAACGGGCTGTCAACATTAAAAACAAAAGTAACTAAATGATTGATCCGCGCTATCCTTTCTGTTTATTTACTTCCCTTTTTGATTCTATAAACAATAAAGCCTATAGTACTCGTAACAGTCGTAACTGCGAAATTCGCTCATTTTTGACATTGCTTCGAAAATTTGACGTTTGATTCACCCACAAAACGTCAAATTGTCGAAGCAATGTCAAAAAAAAGCGAATTTCGCGGTTATGAGTACGAGGCTTGAGAAAGGAAACCGAAATTTGGTAAAGTGAATAGGTAGATATTTTATTATTTCCATTCTGTACAATACAAGTTAAAATTGATGGCTTTTCTTTTCAAAAACATTCGTAATAGGCGGCAAATTTAAATTTTAAATGTAATTTATTCAGTAACTTTTGTTTTTAATGTTGACAGTACTCTAGTGTTTTTTTTTTTTCTACTTTTGGCAACTATGTTCGCGCACCGCAATATGGCGTCCAAACAAAAGGTCAATTGACCGAAATGATCCTGTTTGAAACCGGTGAGGCACCGGATTCACCGGGAATTTTTGTCGGTTTTTTCGGTTGGAGATTTTTTGACGCTTTATTTTTGACGTACCACCGTCACCAAAAGTATCTGGAACAAAAATAATGCATAACAATCTCCTGGACTAATTCTACTGTCATTCATTTCAATGCATTTGATTCATAGTTTGACAAATATTTGACAAGAAAATTCATATAATAGTACAAGAGCTAATATGGTGCTGTCCCAGTTACTTTTGGCATAGACTTAAATACTACGAATAGACGTCCAGTGGAAATAGCAGCACAAAAAATGCCTCAATAATTCATAAGATGGCGCCACTCGTATTAAAAATTCAAAGAAAACTGTGCTAGCACCCTTGTGTACGAGCAGCTTGTCATTGTTTCCAGGACAACCGCATTCCGCCTTTTTTCTGATGTTTGGGTGTTGTCAAATTTATACGGACAAAAAACTAGACAAGAATTCTCTTTGCTATTTGCGACTTTCGAAGAAATAAATTATTGCTTGGATTTCAAAGCACTAATTTTCAAAATGTCTGGAAACAAATGTTGCTACTTCAGTTGTGGCAAAAGTCAGAGAAACGACGGGGTGAGATTATTTCGGATTCCCATTGATAATGGAGAAATTTGTAAGAAATGGATCCAAAATATTGGTAAGGCAAAACTTATTGTTTAAAACTAATATGAAAAATTGGTGTCTTAATGTATGGTTTGGCCTATTTAATGATTTTGGACTAGTTATTTTAGAACTATTGGCAACAGCGTAACGCGCGAATTTGAATTATGACAGAAATGCGCGCCATCTCGTATCTAGCATCTAACCTTGCGTTCGGTATTTTGCTCAAAGTGTAGAGCGAGCTGAGCGGAGCCGTAATCACGTGACCAGCGAGCGAAGGGAGCAGTTGAACGCTGTATAAAAGTACCGGAAATTTTAATAAACGAACGCGAATGAGGCTGCACCGAGTACACTTTTTAAATAAACGAACGGTAAAGTCAAGCTCGGAGAACTCAGACCAAAATAACGAACGCACGGTTAAATATCAAAGCCTGAATTGAATTTGGAGGCTCGCTTTCGATAGCGAGCCTCCAAATAGCGTCGCAGATTTTTACCATTTGACTGGACGTCTATTCGTAGTATTTAAGTCTATGCTTTTGGTGACGATGGTACGTCAATAGACCTATCTATTTTACCAGACAAAGAGGTAATAATACGAAAACTTCATTAGATAAAAGAAGACACAGAACGCTCATTGCGCAAGACGAGGCAAAACGTACCAAATTATGATAGACTTACGTATAGTAATCCGTCCTTCTTATTTGCACAGGATAAAAAGGAAAGGAGAAAAACCGCGTGTTGTGTAACGTATTTGTCAATGAAAATGTCAAACAACTTTTGAATGACACTTGTCAAGTTGAATATCAATTTCAGATTTATTCTTGTCAGACCACGTGCAATGAACAAGGATGAAGAGATGCCCAGCGTGCAAAACGATTAACTCACACCTGTATTAGCTAGCCAATAAAAAGACATTGCCTCGTGTTGCGCGCGCATACCAGGTAAAAATAGATAGGTCTATTGCTTTAAATGGACACTATCGGCAGTCGTTTGTTAAATTGTCGCAGCACAACCGTCAAAACCAAACTTTAATACACCAAAGCGTTCCAAAATGTATCAGAAAAATCATGTAACTGGACTTTCACCTTACTTTTACCGGAATTTTTTGACAGCTACCGGTTTATTTGACCGGTAAATTTATCGGTGAAATTTGGAAAGTGCCCATCTTGGAATATCGATTTATATTGAAATATCCAGTGGCGGGGGTTTGGTCATTGTCGATTTTCGTGTACGAGTTGCAATACGATAACACTTCCAAAAAGTTCCGCACGCAACTGGTTATTTTATGAATGAAATCAGCCAATTTTTTTACAACTGCATTCCCCTTACCGTTGCCCCGTAGACACAGACTCGCTGGGCAGACATTACAGCTCGGGAGCTCAACGTTCCGATTAAAGCCTAGTACTCATAACTAGGAAATTCGCATTTTTTTGATATTGCTTCGACAATTTGACGTTTGATTCACGCATAAAACGTCAAATTGTCGAAGCAATGTCAAAAAAATGCGAATTTCGCAGTTATGAGTACTAGGCCTAATTCAGTCGTACACTTCCATACTGGAAAGCGGCTTGTTTTACACATAGGAGGAGCTCCTTATTACGATTATTCCTTTCGAAAAGTGTTTGTGGCACCTGAAGTGCTCAAGCCCGAACTAAACCATTTAAATGCACGAAAGACAGCGTATCTGTTCCTTTCAAATGCAGGTCGACTAACACCGAAGCGAGTAGCTCTAGTTTTCTAAACTCTTGAAAAGATTGCATTGCGGTGTTGTGCAGGGTTATATCACGGTATGAAGGATGTAATCGGCGGTGTAAACATTAACACCGAATACACCATCATTTTCTACCGAGTAAACGGTGTTCCAACATCTTTAAACCATTTGGGCATCAAATTATTTCCATACGCAAATGTGTACACCAAACTTACTTCTACCAAAGGTGACTTCGGAATGGGTTGTCCGAATGTTGTAAGATGGTTGGACACGTTTACTCGGTACAAAATGATGGCGTATTCGGTCAAATTCGGTGTTACACTGTCAATTACACCGTCATCACGTGATATAACCCTGCACTACACGAACATCGCACTAAAATCCCATCCGAATTCACCTTGAGAAGACGGAGATGACACATGACATGACACATGATACTTCATTTGATTTAGCGGGAAATGCGCCAATGCGCAATGCGGCTGCGGCATTCATCACCAACTTGTTGAAAGAGTATTTTGTTAGTTTATTTTTAATATTTTCTATTATTTATAACGCGTTCTACACCAAATTACAAATTATCAAAATGAAGTGCACAATACCGGAAATATCGTGGCATAATAAAGAACCCGTGCTCAGTGTCGATATTTTCCCAGAAATCGGGCAAAGTTACAGGGTAGCCTCTGCCGGAGCTGATAGTCATGTATTGGTGAGAATTTAATTTAATTAGTATTTGTATGGTAATGTTGAATTAAAACGGAGCATTCTGAAAACTAACTACATATTTCTGATAAACCTTCTTCTTTTCTTTATCTTTTTGACCAGTGTTTCTTGTTTATTTTACAACACAGATTCTAAATTTAAGAAAAAATTATGGTTATGATTTTAAAATAAAGCTTCAAATAGTTCAAATCTCAATTTTTGAAATTATCCTCACGACCTCACCATTAACCAAAATTTCTGTAGTTAATTACCATGGAAAGGGCTTTATTCAATTAGTGTTTTGATCGTTTTATGGTTCATTATTCTGGTTTGTTGTTCAGTGTAATGTTTAAGTCTGTATGAAGCTTAATATTTTGAAACCAGAACTGGGCAAGCTATTTGGAAAAAGTAGCTAGCTACAAGTTTCAAGTTACTTTATATCGTAAGTAGCTAAGTTACTCAGTAGCTCAACTACCTCTTTAAAAAAGTAGCTAAGCTATTGGTAACTTAACTACATATTGAACTAGTGAAAGCTACTATTTAAGCTACTTTTTTGAAAGTTAAATTAATAAAAACAAAAAAAACATGCACAATTGCCACCATCAATGTACTTACATACCTTACCTTATTTAATTTCATAATATCATCATACGAAAATAACATTTTAACTTTCTCTAGGAAGTAGTATTTATATTTTTGTCAAAAACCACTGGACATTAATCTATTAGGTTCATTTGGATCACAGTGATCTGCGAATGCGAGAATAAAACAGGACACAAAAAACATAAGTACCTACAGAGATAAGTAGAAACTAGTCTAAGCAAAGCAGGTAAATTCAACTTACCGCCCGCGTTTGCGGGCGATAAGTTGATCTTACTGTCTCTTTTAGAAGATTAATCATTAGAATTATTTATTATATTCACCCAAGAACTATACCTATACATATTATTACCAAAATCGTTGTGGATAATCATGGAAAATATAATTGTTGATTTTTGGAAAATTTACAAATACAGAAGTTGGTAATTTTTTAGTGGTCTTTATATAAAGGGGAAGACTGTTTATTTTTGAAAACAATGTCGGATGGATGTCATTATATTAGAGGTATAGTTATTTCATTTTTGAACTACAAGAGTCCGCTGTAATAGGTATTTTGGGCGTTAAGTGTTATTAACCACACTCTCGGGCCGTAAATGACACTTTCCGCAATTAATACCTAAAAAACTATTAACTATCTACCAAAAGTAGCTTAAGTAGCTTGTTTTAGTAGCTAGCTACTTTTCACAGTAGCTTATGAATACATGGAACACGTTACCAAAAGCTACAGCTACAAGCTACTTTTTTTTCAAAGTAGCTTGAATAAGTTATTAGCTACCAAAAAAGTACCTAAGTTAGTAGCTTAACTACTTGGTAGCTAGCTACTGCCCAGCTCTGTTTGAAACTGACCACCTGTTTAATAAGTCTCAATATGGATTCACACTGGCAATAAATAAACTAATAATAGTATAATGAATCAGAATCAGAATCGTTTATTGGTGCTTAAAAATACACAGTACAGTGTTCACACAAGTCAAAATAATCAAATACAATTTAGTAATCTAAAATTACAATTTCATTAAAAAATTAGACTAACTATCTATTTCACATGATTTTAAATATCTGCTTTACAAAAATATAAAAGTTATGTTTAAAAATTCCAACAACAATTACAAATTTACTGTCACTCACTAATACAACAATTATCAGGACAAGGACATTTAAAAGTTTGGAATCAATAAATAAAATTAAAAAAAAAAAAAAAAAAGCATATAGCAATGACTAGAGACAATTTTTGGTTGGTGCAACTGTAAAGAACAATAATTGATATAATAATAAATATGAAAAATAATTTATTTATTTGTTTTAAATAATGTTTGTGCCTGTCCAGCTGAGTGTGGAATTATAAAATTCATCTAGACTGTAAAACGCTTTAATTATGAGAAAATCTTTAATTTTTTTCTTAAATTCGGAATTATTTAGTTGTATTACATGCTCTGGTAGTTTGTTAAAAAGTTTTACAGCATGATATCCAGGTCCACCCTGACATCTCTGTAAACGATGGTAGATGGGTCTTAAGTTATTTTTGTTTCTCGTGTCATGGCTGTGAAAATCACCATTACACATAAATGAATCATAATGGTCCCTAACATAAACCAGATTTTGCAGGATATACTCACAGGGCAATGTCAAAATTCTGTTGTCAATAAAAGCCTGCTTGCAGTCATCTCGATAGCCCAAACCAGCCACTATTCTAACAGCCCTTCTCTGCACAGAGAAAACCCTCTGTGCTCCATTTGCATGACCCCATATTAGCAAAGCATAACCTACATGTGAGTGTAGCAAAGAAAAGTATGTTTGTTTTGTAACTCTAGATGAGACACATCTTGCCAAATTTCTTAATAAAAAAGTGTTTTTGCAAAGCTTATTTGAAATTATTTCAGTGTGTGCATCCCAAAGAAGTTTTTGGTCAAGATGCACTCCTAAGAATTTTACACTGTTGGTCATGGGTTCTATATTTTTTAGAGAAAAAGTATAGTTTTGGGTTTTAGATTCATTCAAAAAGAGTTGTTAGCAGCAAACCATTGCCTAGCCCTCAACTGTGCCTCCCCCGACATACAGACAGCTGTTGGTAGATCTGGATGCTGAACTTGACCTGTGGTATCGTCCACAAATTTTACATACTTTTCGAACTCCGCTATTTTGGGTAGATCATTAATATAGATTAGGAATAGAATAGGACCCACAATTGAGCCCTGTGGTACGCCTATGTTTATTTCTTGTTCGCTCGAATTAATGTCATTATAGTTAACAATCTGAGTTTGTTTAGTCAGATAGGATTTTATTAGATCCACACTGTTGTTTGAAAATTTGTAAAAAGGCAGTTTTTTAAGCAGGATATCGTGCGAGACACAGTCAAAGGCCTTGCTCAGGTCACAGAAGGTGGTAACTGTGTGTTGAGAGCTCTCAAAACCTTCCATTATACCTTCTACCAATTTTAAAATTGCTAAAGTTGTATTCTTGCCCCTCCTAAAGCCAAACTGACTATTACTAAGTAGGTCATTTTGCTCTAGGTAACTCGATTTTTGTATAGCTATGCATTTTTCAAGAATCTTCGATAAAACTGGCAGGAGTGAGATCGGTCTGTAGTTGCCTGGATCATTTGGATCTCCTTTTTTAAATATTGGAATTACTTTCGCTGTTTTTAGACAATTTGGAAAGGTTTTCTCTTTAATGCAATGATTTATTAATTTTGTAAGAGGTGTTATTAGGAGATTTTTGACTGATTTTATTAGGGTTATATTAAGGTTGAAAATATCTTTGCTTGTCTTGTTTTTAAGCTGGTCAATCACATCACGTACTTCGTTAAATGAGAGTTCCTTAAAGGAAAAGGATTGATTATTTGCATTAATTTTAAGTAAATTCAAAATGGGGTCTAAATCTTCTTCTTCTATTTTGTTCTGTAGATCTACAGCTATGCTTACAAAAAAATTGTTAAAATCTTGTGCAGTCAATGTTGTTTGGTCATTTTTTGAAGGCTTTGTTTTACCACGATATTCATTAATTATTTCCCACATGCATCTAATTGGGTTGGAAGAGTTTTTTATTTTAGTTTCATTGCACTGAATTTTGGCCTTTTTTATAGCTTTTTTGTAGCTTTGTTGGAGATTTTTTATATATTCCTTAAGCTGATTTGTTGGATGGAGTTTAAAGATGTCATTTAGGTACTGAAGGTGTTCTCTCATATTTTTTAGGTCATTATTAAACCAATCAATGTTATTTGTTTGATTTTCCTTTACTTTATATGTTTTTTTTGGGAACAACTCATTATATGCCAACTCAATTAACTGCACAAGGTTCTGAAACTTTACCTCTACAGAAGTAGGAAAGTCTATAAATCTAAAATCAATTTCAGAAATTTTTTGATAGAATGTGTTTTTTCCTACCTGTGTTATGGGCTGACAATAATGTATAATACATACCAAGTAGAGAAGTGTTTCATTACTTTCAAGAGATTAAAGATGGTTTTAGCAAAGGAGAATATATTGGAGCATTGCTCACAAAGGCATTTCAAATCAAAATTTGCTTTATTATCGAAGACATACAATCTTATTGACAAAGCCAAACTTAAATCTATAAAGACAGCAATAAAAAGCCTCAAAACTAGTTACATAAAAAACGATAAAATAAAATTCGATAAAAAAATATAACACTTGCAAACACTTAAAAAACAAACTGATTAAAATATAAATAGACAGTCAACATTGAAATAGAGAGAATGCGAAAAATCAGTCATAAAAACAGAAATTAAACAATAAAACCGAAAAACAATCAAGCAGTGACCCAAGGTAGTGACTCACTGGAAATTTTCCTGAAAAAAATCCTCAATGTCATAGAAAGGCCGCACAAGCAATAATGTGTTTAGGCTCTTACGAAAAATCCTATTATTATTTATTTGCCTAAGGGAAAGTGGTAAATGATTGAAAATTTTCTTACCATTGTAAATAAGCAACTTTTTGGTTTGTTTACTGTTAGGGATAGGCAAGTTAAGCGAATGGGAAAGACAAGAACTGCGTTCTGAGAGGGCAGCAACATCCTGCCTCTGCCTATACTTCTTCTGCACAAGACAAGCAGTTTCCAATATAAAAATACTTGGCAATGTCGAAATTCCCTCCAACAGAAATAAAGGCTGACATGAGTCTCTAACTTTTGCTTGGCATATTCAGGCAGGCAGGCAGGTTCTTTCAACCATTATAGAGCGTGATTTGGCATTAATAAAGGAATGGTGCGATGCAAACCTTCTAGTCTTTAATGTCTCAAAAACTAATATTTTTACAAGCTTTTATTTAGCTTCACATGTTCTGTCTAACTATCTAACTATCAAATCTTGTGAAGCGTTTTTGACACACTTCCCATTATCCGATTTGGATGAAATTTGGTACACACATAGTGGTCCCATGACAATACAAC